TTTTTCAAAGGGAAAAAACAAGATAGTAAGAATATGTGAATCCTTGATAAGATAAGTAAGAACAAACGGCGTAGGTAAATATTTACATTCCATGAATCATCGAAAACATTCCCTTTCATACTTCTCATGACGACATGCCTTCTTTTATAATCATAAATCATAATAATTGATAAAATGATATTAAAAGTACAGGCTAGTTTTCAGTCGACTTCAGTTAAAAAAATACAAAGGATCAAAACACAACATTTAAAAAATATTTATGAGTAAGCAAGACGAGAAAATAGATTCCAATTTAAACACCCTTCGAGACAAAGTCAATCAACTTGAAACCCGTTTTAATACATTACGTGAGAAGCTCATTTCAAAATTAAACGAATGCAGTGATTGTATTGAATCTGCTAAAAACATATGTCATCAAGCAACAGAAATGACTACAGTCTTAGAAAACAAATTAGTTAATGCATCAAATGAAGAAAAAGAATGCAAGGATATCAAAGTTAAATTAGCAACAACATCAATTAAGGGTATGGTCATACTCAATGTTGGAGGTGAGAAATATACCACAAGTGTTGAGACATTAACAAGTGAGAAAGATACTTTTTTCACTGCACTCTTCTCTAAGCAATGGCAAATTGAAAGAGATCCTGATGATAAAAGTATATTTATCGATCGTGATGGACAATTGTTCAATCATATTCTGGCATATTTAAGAACAAATACGGTGCCAATTAATGTTATTGAAGATGAAACACTTCTAACTAGTCTAATAAGTGAAGCTGAATATTTTAGTTTGCATAGTCTAATGAATATATTAGACCCTTTTTCTAATGGAACATTACTTCACCTAGACCACAAGAAGAAACTAAATGAATTCTATGGTAAAAATAATCAACGATGGGAATTGATTTATAAAGCGTCACGTGATGGATTTGATGCAAAAACATTTCATTCACGTTGTAATAATAAAGGATCAACAATGACGATTATTCAATCAAATAATAACTATCTTTTTGGAGGTTATACA